CTCTCTCTCTCTCTCTCTCTCTCTCTCTCTCTCTGTAACTCTTTCAAATAGACAATAAATCTTAAAAAAAAAAAAAAAATCCTACAGAGTAGATTATCTCACGGCCTGGGCCTCAATCCCTCACCAAGATGCAATCACTGGCTACTAGTGGATTGCGTGTCCTTCTAGAACTTATCTCTGTATAAACATACATATTTATGTATGCCTGCCGCTTTTTGTTGACCCAAGTGAGAACATGCGCTGTGTTTCACTGGCTGCTCCCCCTTGACCTCAGGTCTCAGATGATCTATCGGGGCATGCATAATCTACTTCATTATCTTTTTTTTTTTTTTTTTTTTTTTTTTGACAGGCAGAGTGGACAGTGAGAGAGAGAGACAGAGAGAAAGGTCTTCCTTTTTGCCGTTGGTTCACCCTCCAATGGCCGCCGCAGCCGGTGCACCATGCTGATCCGATGGCAGGAGCCGGGTGCTTCTCCTGGTCTCCCATGGGGTGCAGGGCCCAAGGACTTGAGCCATCCTCCACTGCACTCCCGGGCCACAGCAGAGAGCTGGCCTGGAAGAGGGGCAACCGGGACAGAATCCAGCGCCCCAACTGGGACTAGAACCTGGTGTGCCGGTGCCGCAAGGTGGAGGATTAGCCTATTGAGCCGCGGCGCCGGCCTTCATTATCTTCTAAAGAGCTGCATAGCTTTCCTCTGTGTGGAAGTGGCATAATTTATTTAACCACTCCTGGATGCAGAGAATAGGAAATGAGATTAAAAGACAAATGGAGGGGCCACCATTGTCGTGCAACAGGGTGAGCGGCCACCTGCAATGCTAGCATCCATCTGAGCACCTGTTCGACTCCCGGCTGCTCCACTTCCAATCCAGCTCCCTGCTAATGCACCTGGGAAAGCAGCGGCAGGTGATCCCAGTGTTCATGTCCTGCACCCATGTGGGAGATCCAGATGAAGCTCCCGGCTCTTGGCTTTTACCTGTCCCAGCCCCCGCTGTTCCAGCCATCTGGGGAGTGAACCAGCAGATAGAAGATCTCGCCTTCTCTGTCTCTCCTTCTCTCCCTCTCTCTCTGTAACTCTTCCTTTCAAATAAATAAATAAATCTTTTAAAAAAATAAAAATCAAGAAATACAAGTGTATTTGGGTGCAAAAAAACTTTGAAAACCATGCACATTTTTTTTCATAATTATGCATTCTTCATAAACTTTTTGAAGACCTTTTGTAGAGATATTAAAACTAGAAATAAGGAGACCAAATCATTCTTATCTGTGGACGATTATATAACTTGAAAACATGCAAAGAAAATCAACTTGGAAACAGTAAGAGTGTACGTGGCCCTGGTGTGTGGGGAATCGCACTACCTACCACAATCCACAGATCCAACCATCTCCCGCCCAGAAATCTACCCTTCAGGTAGGGGCCCTCTGAGTTCAAAACACAGGTACCCTTGCAAGTGCAGGTACCATGCGCAGACCCGGGTCTGTTAGCACGTTCTTCATAACAGCGAAAACGCCTGGAACAACTGCTTGTAAGGCGAGCCCCAGCTGCTGTGTGTACAGGCTAGGATATGATACGAGCATGAAACAAAAATCTTACGAAGAACGGCCAAGAAAGCAGTCTCAGTGAGGACAAGGAGCAAAACTCAGGAAAAAATCAGGAACTTTCCTTTCTGTCAGAAGCCTTTTGTACTTTTAGACTTTTCCAGGCACCCCCAAAATGCATGCCTAAGATATGATTTACTTTATGGGCCACGAGGAAGGCCACGTTTTCTAACAAACAAATTAATTTTCATAAAGTCCTTGATCATACCAGGAGGCTGATTTTTAGTTCAAAATGGATGATTTTTTTTAAAAAAAGATTTATTTATTTATTTACTTGAAAGGCAGAGTTACAGAGAAGCAGAGAGAGAGAGAGGTCTTCTATCTGCTGGTTCACTCCCCAGATGGCAGCAACGAACAGCTATGCCAATCTGAAGCCAGAAGCCAGGAGCTTCTTCCCGGTCTCCCATGTGGCCGCAGGGGCCCAAGGATTTGGGCCACCTTCCACTGCTCTCCCAGGCCACAGCAGAGAGCTGGATCAGAAGTGGAGCAGCCGGGCCTCGAACCAACGCCCATATATGGGATTCTGGCACTTGCGGCAGCTTTACCCGCTACACCACAGCGCCGGCCCCTAAAATGGATGATCTTTGTTGAGCAAAGAAAAGCCTTTTCGTTGACATCTAGGGGAAAGAAATAGCACCTTGGGATTTTTACTTTTCTTTCCTGAGATGCCAGTGTCCCAAATGATGGCTTAACCCTCTGTGCCACTCACCGGCCCTTTTCCTTTTGTTTTAGGGGTACCGTTGCGGTTGCCTTTTTTTGTCACCATGCTAGCTTTGCAATGGTACAACCGGGTCTCTACCAATCATTAGTAGGTTAGTGCTTTTCCAGTCCTGTGGTCAAGTACTGATTCCCAACGCCACACATGGGGAATTCTGCTGGGCTCATGGCCTAGGGCCAAGTTACCTGGGGGTCGTCAGAGACCCAGTGAAATGGCGTGACCCTGACCCAAGGAGCTCGATCCAGGCCGGGCTGGCAGGAGGTGGAGAGAGAACCTCACCCAGTGGCTGCTCTGCTTGCTCCCCTGGTCAGTATGTTGCTCCAAACCTCCTTCCTCCCGCGTGTTCACGGGAACGAGAGCTTGGGCAATTCCAGTGGGTGCGAGGATGAGAAGCGAGGACATGTGTCCTGGCCACAGAAAATCCTGCATCTAATGGCAACAGCTCTTTCCCTTAAGATTCCCTGAGTCTAAACCGGACTGGTCAGCCACCGACACAGGGGCAGCTGCTTCACCTCATCACTGGCAAGCGTCTTTGAATGAAAGAACCCGAGACTGCACCCCTCGACTTTCTGCTGCATTCACTGGACCGGTGCAGGACCTGGGATCCCTTAGGGTCAGAAAGAGAGAGACAGAGAGAGCTCATGCTCCCATCTGCCAGTCCACCACCAGTCACCCATGGTGACTGGGTCTGGGCTGGGCCAAGGCATGGGTGCCAGGTGCCCAGGCTGGGTCGCCCATGTGGGTGCCAGGGACACAGTCACTTGAGCCATCCCCACTGCCTCCCAGAGTCTGTTCCAGCTGAGCTGTAATCGGGCGCTGGACCTGGGAGTGGAGCTCAGGCACTCCAGTGTGGGACGCTGGTTTCTTAACTGCTAACCCCACAGCCTGCTGTGATGGGCAACCAGGCTTGACACACACAGGCATAAATTATTCAGTTACACGAAAATTATTGTGAGTCATCTAACAGCCTCATACATTTGGCTGTGACCCTTTGGGGAAAAGACTCCCAGGAAAAAATTGCTATCATAAAGGAATTAAATTAATCCTCAAGGGTGAGTAAATTAATCCCAGTAAACACATTATGGTCACTGCATTAAGTAAAAATTTTGTCTGCCTAATCAATAATGAAATAGGCAGAGAGAGGACATTTTAAAGCCTATAATTCCAGCACTAGCCTAGGTTTGATAAATATTTTATAGACAATCAATTTTATTCCACTCTGCTTGAGAAATGAGTAAAGGCCCACATTGCTATTTGGCAACATTGAGTGTTTTTGAGTTGAACTGGAATCTCGTGGTGTTGATCAGTGTAATTTCTCCCTCAAGGTAAGAGCAAGCGCGTAGCTAACAGACAACAAGTCCTTTCTCTCCTCGGTGTACACGCCTGTGCTTTGGTCTTTTGGCTCTGGCTCTGGAGTCCAGCGTGGTGAGCCGGCCTGAAGGAGCGTGGTCCTACACCATGCACCTGTTGTCTGAGAAGGGCCAGATCTGTGCATCTCTGGCACCCCCAGCTTCCTCCTGCTCAGAACCCGGCAAGTCCCCACTACACAGAGGGAACGAGGAGAAGGGGGTTCTTTCATTTACCAGTTTCTAGGACCCTACTGAAATAAGGATCTGCCAGGCCTGAAGCCCAAAGCTCCATCCAGGTCTCCCGTGTGGATGGCAGAGACCAAAGAACTTGAGCCATCTGCCTCCAGGACGTTTCAGTAAAAAGCTGGATCAGAGACAGAGCAGCTGTGACTTGAACTGGCACACCACCAATGGGACGTGGGCGTACCAAGCAGTGACTTTACCTGCTGGGCCACAACACCAGCCCTGGTCATTTGTCTTCTTCTTTTTTTAGTTAATTAATTTATTTGAAAGCCAGAGTTACAAGGGCTAGAGCTGTGTGTTAACGCCCTGGCCTGAAGCGCTGGCATCCCATATGGGCACCAGTTTGAGTCAAGGCTGCTCCACTTCCAATCCAGCTCTTTGCTATGGCCTGGGAAAGCAGTAGAAGATGGCCCAAGTCCTTGGGCCCCTTCACCCATGTGGGAGACCTGGAAGAAGCTCCTGGCTCCTGGCTTCAGATCAGTGCAGCTCCAGCCGTTGTGGCCAATTGGAGAGTGAACCAGTGGATGGAAGACCTCTCTCTCTGTCTCTCTCTCTCTCTCTCTGCCTCTCCTTCTCTCTCTGTGTAACTCTGCCTTTCAAATAAATGAATAAATTAAAAAAAAAGAAGAAGAAGAAGAAAGGAAGGAAGGAAGCCAGAGTTAGAGAGAGAGAGAGATCTTACTTCTGCTGGTTCACTCCCAAGATGGCTGCAACGTCCAGGACTGGGTCAGGCCAAAGCCAGGAGGATCATCCAGGTCTCCCATGAGGGTGGCAGGAGTCCAAGCACTCGGGCCATCTTCCACTGCCTTTCCAAGGCCATTAGCAGGGAGCCAGATAGGAAGTGGGGCAGCAGGGACACGAACCCACATGGGATGCCAACATCACAGGATATGGCTTTACCCACTATGCCTCAATACAAGACTGGTGATTGTTCTTATTAAAGAGCCAAGGCCTTGAATTTTGATACAAGTCTCATGTGAATTCTCACATAATTCTTTAAGAATCATTTGCTCTCTGCCAGATTTAGCCGATCCTATGTCCCTGTGTGTCATAAATACAGAAATAGGAGAAATTCATTGGCAAAGTATACCTACTCTTTTATCTCCAACACACACCACCACCACGGAGGGACAATGGAGGGCGCAGAAGACTGTAGTAAAGACACAGGTGCTGGGTGCAGCCGTTTCCGTAGGCGGCCGGTGCCTGGCTCCTCCTGGGTGCACGCGCGGCGCTGAGGTCATCACCAAGGCTCTGCTTCACGACTCTGGGATCCTCTTGCTTCGAGACCTTGTCTTCCCACCCCAGCGTAGAAAGGCATCCTCTCCCTCTCCCAGCCAGCGCCTCGGCCCGCAGTGCAGGTCCGTGCACAGGCAGGTGCTCAGGGCTTCCCGAAGCCGCAGTGGGCGTGGCCTGACACCCAGTGCAGCAGTCTCCGCCATCCTCTTTGGTATTGGAATAAAGCACACAGCTTTCGCGTTCCCCATAGCGTGGTTTCGTGTCTTCGGGGCCTCTGTCACCAAAAGCGTGGCTTTCAAGGGTCTTCACCTCGTGCTCTGAGGGTTGGCTCCTGCCTTTTCCTCCTGGACGTCCCAGGTCTGTCACGCAGCGCAAAATGCAGGCAGCGCCAAATGCAGGCTGCAGTGTACGCCATCGGCTGCAAATCGGGCGAGGGAAGTGGAGAAAGGGTCCTGCCTGCTGTCTGCCTTTGAGACAGTAAAACACTCACGTGACGATTAAAGATCAATATGGGGCAGAACGTAACGGGACCCTAAATGGTGCGGGTGTGGACTGAGGTCAGAACGGTGCTCTAGAGAAAGAAGACGCCATCAGGAGGGGACGTCCGACAGCAGGGAAGGGTCCCATAGCCAAAGCCGGGCTTCGCTGAGTTCTGAAAAGCATCAGGTTAGACGTTTATGGGAATGGGGGCAGCAGACGATTGTCAGAGGAAAATACCAGGGGAAGTACAAAGGTCAGGCAGAGCAGAGCTGCGTGCGGGACAGTGAGACGCCTGCCTGAGCCCTGGGAGAAATTCTCCATCACTTTGCGTAACTCCAGCAATGCCTGGACCTCACTTTCCTAAACCAGCAGGCCAAGGCCATGCGACAGGGCAGTCACATTACCGGATCACAGTCCTCGATCAACCCACCACCAGTGCCTCTCCATCATCACTGTGATCTCGCGGTAAAGAAAACAGATGTCAAGCACCCACATAGGCAGGTTAACCGAGGGACCAAAGACAGACCTCCCCTACAGGGAAACTTGACACCTGGGAGAGGTGCCCCCCAAAAAAGGAAGGTGCCAGAACACCCATGAAGCCACTATGGAGGGGTGAGGCTGGACCACCTGCTGTCCTCCAAGCAAAACTGACCCAACTGAATTGGAGACTCCATGTGAAGAGCAAAACTGTGGAAAGTAAAAAATGATTGAATAATCACAATACTAATTACAGAAATAAAATTAAGGCCTTGATAAGACGGTAATTTTAAAGCCATTAAATTGGCAAAAAATGAGACACCTGATGAGATTTGTTTTGGCAAAGATGTGGCTCAATAGGAACTCTTAACACACTCTTGATAGGTATTTGTATTAGCCAATCACTGTAGAAAGAAGTTTGACAGTAGCTAGTAAATCACGCTATAGTTATACTGCAGAATGTCACATGCAGTAAACAATGAATGAACTGGTACAGCCACCATGGAAAACAGTATGATCCTTCCTCAAAAAAATTAAACAAGGAGACTGTGCTGTGGTGCAGCTGGCTGTGTTCACCTGTGATGCTGGCACCCCACATGGGCACCGGCTTGAGGCCTGGCTGCTCCACTTCTGATCCAGCTCCCAGCTAGTGTGCCTGGGAGGACAGTGGAAAGTGGTCCAAGTACTCAGGTCCCCTGTCACCCACGAGGGAGACCTGGATGGTGTTCCTGGTTCCTGGCTTCAGCCTGGCCCAGCCCTGGCTGGTGTGGCCATTTGAGGAGTGAACCAGCAGATGGGAGACCTCTCCCCGTCCTCCCACCATCTGTATCTCTGCTAAATAAATAACTGCTTTTAAAAAAAGTTAAACATAGAATTACCATACAAGGGCCAGTGTTTGTCACTGTGAGTTAAGCCATCACTTGCGGTGTAGCCACCCCAGCTCTAAGCACCAGCTTGAATCCTGGCTGCTCCACTTCTGACCCAGATCCCTGCTAATGTGCCTGGAAAGCTGTGGGCGATGGCCCAGGTGCTTACCTTGTTAGAAACAATGTATGGCAGTGAAAGAATCAGAAAAGGGGGGAGGCAACTCAACAGCTAGGCCAGGTTTATTAGAGACTAAACCTGAGAGGGCTCTTCAGTCACAGAGCTTGGGTGGAGTCCTAGGCTCTGGCCTAACCCAACCCTGGCTATTTCAGCCCTTTGGGAGAAATGAATCAGCTGATGGACGATATCGCTCTCTATGTCACTCTACCTTTCAAATAAATAAATACATACATAAATAAATAAATAATTTTTTTAATTACTATAGAATTATACTTCCAGGTATATAATCCAAAAAAGCAAAAACAGGGATTTGAACAGGTATTTGTACACCTGTATCAAAGCAACACAACTGACAATATTCAAAAGGTGGAAGTGAACCTAGTGTCTATCCAGCAATGAATAGCTGAAGTGTGGTGTGTGTGCACCCGTGCGTGCACGCATGCTGAAATGTTATTCAGTCTTAAAAAGATAAACGGATGAACCTGAGGACCTTATGCCAAGTTGACTAATCCAATCCCAAAAGGGCAAACATCATGATTCCACCCATGGTCCTATAAGAAACTTAGAACAGGCAGAGCTACAGAGACGGGAGCAGAATTGGGTTGCGAGGACGGAGGGAAGAGAAGAAGGGGCGTTGTTATTTAAAGGGTCCAAAGTTTCAGCTGGGGAAGATAAAAACGTTCTGGGGATGGATGATGGTGACAGCTGCCCGACACTGTAAATGTATTTAATGCCGTTGAACGTCACAGTTAATAATCACTAAAATGGTAGATTCTACATTGGGCATATTTTACCACAATAAAAAAAGAAACAGCAAATGAGTGATATATTTACTCATTCTCCTGCCAGTGGGTGTTTGGGCTATTTCCAGTTCTGTTTGTTCATCGGACTGCTTTTGTCACTATTGCTACTGTGACTATTCATTTGCATGTCTCCTGATACTTATTTGCAAGTGAGTCTGCAGAGAACGTTCCTAAAAATGGAACTGCTGGGTCAATGTTACTATGCCAGACTGCTTTCCAAAGGGACTGCACTGAAGCACAATAATGGAAATCCTAGAAATAATAGTTTGTAAAAGATGCTCAGGAGAAGTTAAAGTACAGCCAAAAGAAGGCAGGTGAACCGCTCAGCTTGCCCACCACCTGCTCTATTTCATTTCTTAGCTGGGCATCCGCTCTCAGGCCGCTGGCTATGGATGCCCACCCCTGTAGGACCCGGGGACGTGAGGAGCGGGTTCACTGTGCAGTGATTTCCGATGCGTCTGTGTCTGCTGAGACAGAACGTCCAGACACGAGTTACATGAAGGGGGCTGTTACCTACAGATAGGCATCGAAGAACAGACGCTCAGGATCCATTGCAAACCGGTCCCCAGGGCTCAGGCAGGCTGCCTGGAGTGATCAGAGTCCTGGCCATGCCTTCCACCTTTGCACCACAGCTGAAAGCAGCCTGTGTTTGCATCTCTGGTAACCTGAATTGCTGGGCTGAAGCTTTGAAGGGACACTCTGTTCTTAGGGACTGGGTGGTCCTAACCAGTGCCCGCACATTCTACAGTTCTAAAACGTGTACGTAGGGAAGGGAGGAGAACTGAGCAAGTCTCAGGCCACCTAGACAGCTGTCATCCCAGACCATGAAAAAGCTGGGGTCTGTCAGGGAGGAGAGGCCGGAGGAACTGCCGGTGCAGCTCGGGAACCGTGCACCTGAGGGACTTGTGGAGAGTCCAGCTCAGAACCACAGCAGCTGCCATTTCCTTGGCTAAAGCGCTGTTCTCTCTGGGAAGTTCACCCTCTGGGATTGAGTAAGCATCTTTGGAAGGAGCCAGAGTCTCAGAATCAACCAGGGAAGGGAAAAAAGCAAGTTAGGGGACACCGGAGACCCAACTTCAATTATTACAAAAGCTGTCCTATAGAAGTGAGATTCACTCTCTGTGAGAGGTCACAGCAAAACTTCATGAACTTCGAGCTGGGCGATCTGCCTGTGAGGCCTGGGACATGCTCATGCGCACAGATTGGGAAAGAGTCAGCTCCAGGGCTGGAGGTTGGAGACGCTGGACGAGAAGACAGCTGAGGTCCTTGTCCAGTCCGTGATGATGATTCAAATGCATCCAAATGCTAGACACCGCACCTGCCATAAACAGCTCTCAGCCTTAGAACCAATCAGTGCACACCTATCTTGAACTGGGTCCTCTAATTACAGTCCTGAGTCTCTTGATGGGGACACGTTCTGAAAAACATGTCGTTAGGCGATTTTGTCACTATGCAAACATCACAGAGGGCACTTTCACACACCAAGATGCTATGTTCTTAGCATCACGAGGTGATGTAATCTTTATGGGACCACCCATCTGAGTCATTACATCACTGTGTCGACGTTGATGACGTCATTACATCTCTAGGTGATGTAATCTTATGGGACCACCATCAAATGTACAGTCAGTAGTCTGTCAGTCAAACCCTCGCTGCAAGGCACATCACTGCGCTCTACAACTCATTTTGATCTTCCCATGAACAAAATTATCCCTTTGTGCATGGGTGCGGTCCCTAAAGCGCTAAAAACACTACCTGGGCTTAGCCTTTCCTGTTTATAAAGTAGGGCGTGTGAAGCCGACGCTGTGGCTAGCAGGTAAAGCTGCCACCTACGGAGCCGGCATCCCACATGGCCACCTGTTCGAGTCCTGGCTGTTCCACTTCCGATCCAGATCTCTGCTATGGCCTGGGAAAGCAGCAGATTTTGTTCCAATTACTTGAGCTCCTGCACCCACATGGGAGACCCTGAACAAGCTCCTGGCTCCTGTCTTCCAATCGGCCCAGTTCTGGCTGTTGCAGCTGTTTGGGGAGTGAACCAGCGGATGAAAGATTCTCTCTCTCTCTCTCTGCTTCTACCTCTCTATAACTGTGTTTCAAATAAATAAAATAAATCTTAAAAAAAAAAGCATGCATCCAACTAATAGAAAGTTGCTGA